TTCTCGTCTCTGTCAACGCTGACTCCATCGCCATCAACTCAAGCATTTGTAATTACAGTCGAACCTCCCGAAAGCGACTACCCAAAATGTCAAGCTAGCCTAGGTGGTCGCTTACGGGAGGTGGTCGCTTACGAGGGCTTAGACCATATTGGGTCAAAATTTTGCCTCAGTAGCATATGGTAACTACAGAGAATTACCCCATGTTTTAAACGTTTTATTCATGTGAAAAATTAATTTCGAGAAAAATACAGGACTTCCCATTGCGAAATTTCCGTCTCTTGTACTACTTAGGAATGTGATAATGTTACAACATTTTATTATCCAGTGTCTACTCTATTATCTGTCAAGTGGTCGCTTACGGGAGGCCGGTGAAAAACAAAAGAAAATTTCAAACTTTTAACCGTAAAAGTGGTCGCGGTCGCTTACGAGAGGTGTTCGCTTACAAGGGGTTCCAAATATAGTGATTTGACTCAAAAACTTTTGGTATTTTGGAAAACTGGTCGCTGAGGAGAGGTGGTCGCTTACGAGAGGTGGTCGCAACAGGAGGTTCGCATTGTTTAATAACTCAGTTTATTATCGCTTTAATCTATTTTTTATTATCAGTGATACGCCCCCCCCGGGGGGGATACTCCCTTATATGGGCTATATAGGTATGTGAGGTCCCAAAGGGTATGGTTTTCAGTCATTTTGTAAAAAAATGGGGTGTCTATTTTCGCCATTTTAGTCATAAATCGGGTATGGTTTTTGCACTCCAGTCTTGAACTGGGCATACTTTTAGAAGAAGCTACTTTTTCAGGTAATTTTTTTAAGGTCATAAATAGCGTAGGGAAAATCGCAGATTTTGGACATAAATACGGTAAGGGTTTAATTTTAGGAAGCGAGCTGCACACCCCCACCAAATTTTATGTGCTAAATATTTTCATGATCACATTAGCTGGTAATGTTTAAGCATAAAAACTAATTTGTAAAAGTATATTTCTTTTACGTACATTATTCTAAGTAGAGTTATCGTCATTAGCGCCTC